CGTCACAAGTTAGACTCTTGTTTCCATACAGCCTTTGGCATCGCTCCCTCCATATTTCATTGATCAACAAATTCCACATCAGACAACCATTCTTGCATTTCTCCAGCTTACTAATGGCTTCTTCCAAATTTTCAAGCAGAGGGCATTTCGTATCATTATTAGGATTCCACTTCTTTATTTTTATCAAGAGTATTAATCCTGCCAATCATGATAAGCTAAGCCAGTAATGAGTTTCGAGGGATCTAACATTTTCTCCAGATTAACTTTAACCCAGTAAGCATCTCCTACGTGGTCTAATGTGCTCCCATATCCTCTTGATTTGGTATTTTCCATAATAACACCTATTCCAAAGAACCCCTTAGTCTGAATGTTGAAAGTGACCTCCAACCAAAGGACGAGTTTGCAAAATTCGATTCCAATGAAATCCCAGGATCCTTAAACTTGATTTTCCCAGATTGAAAAATTCATTAACTGATACTCTTTTTGTTATAAACGCACTGCTACGGATCGAGAAATCGTCGGAATCGATAAAACAAGAATACGAAACCGAGAATCGAAAAAACACAGACACACGATTTACGTGGTTCACCCCCGACTACCAGTCGTAGCGGCTGATAGTCCGATTCAAGTCACATCAACAAATCTCCACCTTGACTTGAATCCTCTTCCTCTGAAATCTCTGATGTACTCTGCTCCTTCTCTCTCTCCTGCCATCAATGCCCCGCAGGGCGGAGTCACCCACTCAAGACATTCAGCAAGTCTAACCAGTGTTGGAAGTTACCATGTGGAACTGGCTTCGTGAACATATCAGCAGGATTATCCGCGTGCCAACCTTCTTCACCTTAATCCTCTTCTCTGTCCTCAAGAAATGATATCTCACGTCGATGTGCTTAGTCCTATCATGGTGGACTTGATCCTTGGCCAAGCATATTGCACTCAAACTGTCGCAATACACCACTGCTTGATCATGATGTAGACCCAGATCACCAACCAGTCCCTTCAACCATATTCCTTCCTTAGCAGCTTCTGTCAACGCCATATACTCTGCCTCAGTAGTAGACAATGTCACCGCTGACTGCAAAGTTGCCTTCCAGCTCACTACAGAACTCCCAAGAGTGAATACATAACCGGTCATCGATCTCCTCGTGTCAACATCTCCAGCATAGTCTAAGTCAAAATACCCAGACACCAAGCACTCTGTATCACTCCTGAAGCTAATCCCCACATCAGGTGTACCCTTAAGGTACCGGAAGATCCTCTTCACAGCATGCCAATGCTCCTTTCCAGATTGTATCATAAACCTGCTGACAACACTAACAGCATGTGCAAGATCAGGTCTAGTGCATACCATAGCGTACATCAAGCTACCTACTGCACTAGCATATGGGACTCTCGACATGTACTCCTTCTCAGCCTCTGACTGCTGTGCATAAGCTGAGAATAGATGAACATTTGAAGCACTGGGAGTATTTAAGGGCTTTGTTGTAGTCATGCCAAACCTCGACAGTATCTTCTGGATGTAGCTCTTCTGTGACAAGAAAAGCGTCTTCTTTGACCTATCCCTGTAAATCTCCATACCCAAGATCTTCTGAGCAGCTCCCAAATCCTTCATCTCAAACTCAGCACTGAGAAGCCCCTTTAACTTCTGGATATCAGACTTTGACCTCACAGCTATGAGCATATCATCCACATACAGAACAAGATAGACCATTGAACCATCATCCACCTTGTTGTGATACACACAACAATCATATGGACTTCTACTATAGCCCAGCTCAAGCATGTAACTGTCAAATCTCTTGTACCACTGCCTCGGAGACTGCTTAAGTCCATACAAGGACTTCTTCATCTTACAAACATAGTCTTCTTTTCCCGGAACCTCGAATCCTTCTGGCTGAGTCATGTAAATTTCTTCCTCCAACTCTCCATGTAGGAAAGCTGTCTTCACATCTAGCTGCTCGAGCTCCAAGTCATAATGTGCCACTATTGCTAGTAGCACTCTGATCGAAGTATGTCTGACCACTGGTGAGAAAATCTCATTGTAGTCGACTCCTTCCCTCTACGAGAAGCCTCGTGCAACCACCCGAGCTTTAAATTTCATGACCTCTTTAGAAGTGATTACTTCCTTCTTCTTGTAGATCCACTTGTTTCTAACAATCTTCCTTCCCTGTGGTCGTTTGACTAGCTCCCAAGTCTGATTCCTGTCATGGGATTCCATCTCATCTCCCATTGCGGCAAGCCACTGATCAGCTTCGCCGCCCGAAATGGCTTCTCTATAGGACTGTGGCTCACCTGCATCCACTTCTTCAGCAACCTGAAATGATGACTCACTTCTACTGTCACTCCAGGAATTGGCCAAGTGAAACCACTTCCTAAAGCGTAGTATAGCGGGTTTGGGTTTAATGCAAGTATAAACTAACAAACTAACAAAGTAAGTAAACTGTTGTATTCAGGTTAAGAGAGGTCACCCGGATATGGTTCCCCCTAGACTGCAGTTAAGCCAGATTGTAATTACCAAGTTCAGTTTCTATGATAGTTATACTGCGGAAGGTTCTTAAACAGCCTGAAGTCTCGACTAAAGGTCTTCAGACCCTCTAAATCTGAGTCTCTAGCGGGCGACTAACCTCCACCGGAGTAAACAGATTGAGGCCTTAACAAACAAAACCTCCACTACCGGAGTAAATCCGGTACAGAATAGTGAGTTGGCTCCTCGACTAAAGTCACCAACTCCCTACCTTCAATCAAGGATGCTCTATCAACCTAGGCAGATATTCTCATTCTAGGTTAAAGCAGAAACAACAGGAATTTGATCAGGATTCAAGTCATTCAATCATTCAAACCTCAATCGAATATAATCAAATCATAGAATCAGTACTTGGGTTCATACAATCAAAGCCTAACATACAAATCTAGGGTTCTCCATACCCAGATGAATGGGAGAACTACTCCATGGAGAAAGAAGCAAAAGCAGAATCAGACACGGAATTCATACTGTGAAGGATGGATTCCTGCTCCTGGATGTTGATCGGCACTTCTCCAAGCTCAAACTGGCCTCCAATGGTGTTGAAGATCAATCTAGGGCACTTGGAGACTCTTGTTTGTCGCTTTCTCTCTCTAGGAATCGTTCTCTCTCTCCAAAAACTCGAATCCCCTTCTGTTTGGCTGAAAATCTGCTTAAAAAGGCATCACTGGCCAAAGCACGGTCGAGGGCACGGCCGTGCTTTGCCTCAGCCCGCCCGTGCTTTGGCTAGTGTTAATTACACGGCCATGTGTTGGGAGAAACACGGCCGTGCTTTGGAGAGAACACGGCCGTGCTTTGGGAGAACACGGCTGTGCTTTCAGCCCGTGTAATCAGCTCATGTTTGCCAAACTCGAATTAGCTCTCGACAGTAAAAGCACGGCCACAGAACACGGCTGTGCTTTCAGCCCTTGTAATCAGCTCATGTTTGCCAAACTCGAATTAGCTCTCGACAGTAAAAGCACGGCCACAGAACACGGCCGTGTTTTGGAGAGAACACGGCCGTGCTTTGGGAGAACACGGTCGTGTAATGCTTTAGGTGTGCCCGTGTTTTGGCTCCACCTCGACAAAATGACTTCTGAATGCCCCGAAACTCGTGCTTAGCCTTTCCTTTGACGCCTGGGACCTGAAATATGACAAAATAGCACTAGCCGGCGTTAATTAGGCCAAAAGTACACGACTATGCCCCTCAAACGGATAAGAACTAGGGGCGCAAATATGTGCAATTACATCGTTATCAAACTCCCCCACACTTAACCGTTTGCTTGTCCCCAAGCAAACCTAACTCAAACCAATGCAACTCTCCAGACCTATATAGCAACAAACAACCCAGATCGTAGGTAGAGGACTTCCTAGATCATTTAGCAACTTACGAGGTCAACCGACGCACAAGTCATCTCATAGCTTCTTCGGCGAGAGCACTAGTATCGAGCCGGCATCATGGCAAATAGTGAATAGAGGACAAATGAATTGTGGATGAAGAGATTCTCAAAGACAAAGGATCATGGACTCACATTTTTCAAGGTGCTCTATTTTCTTCTTGAAGATGGTTGGAACCCCTTTTCTTTCTGTTTTGCTTGTTTTCTGTTATTTTTTTTCTTTTTTTCTTTTTTCAAGGGTCCCAACCGGCTCTTACCGGCCATGCCAGGAGCGGATGTCTCGAGCCTCGTGCGGGGGAAAGACATGTAAGGGGGCTGGAGGTAGTAGGTGGAAATTGGGAACGGATTCCCGTCTCCCCTTACACACTTTCGCCCTATTCGCACGGGAGACGTTATTTTGAAGCACATTTTTGAGCACCTGTTAAACTCAAAACATGATACAAGAGTCCATGACAGGTAGAGAGTCCACATCACCACACAATTCAAGGGTCCTAAGATCACTAATTCACTCAATCAACCAACACAATATGAAGAAGAAATGAGACTTCTTAAATGCATCAATATCCTCCATAGTGCTACACTACCTCCCTAGGTTGCATATTACTATAGAGACTGTGTCAATTCAAAGCATACTGAGCAGGCAATTGCAAGGAACACGTACTTGGAGCCCTCAAATTTAAAAATTTGGACAGTGGACTAGGCTCCAAGCACACAAACAGATCTAATGCAGTCAAAAGATAAACATCCCCCCACACTTAAGGTCGACATTGCCCTCAATGGAGAAGAGGGAAGGAAAAGGGGAACGATGTTACCGGTATACACGGACTGCAGGAGACTGGAAGCGGACCAATCGGAGTGAAGCGGACTGGATAGGGAACCAGTCAAGACAAGCACAGCTAAAGGAAACCAAAGAGCTCAAACACGATATGTTAGGTCCAATGGTCAGCCCAATAAGACATCATCCAAAACAAAAGAAAACAAACCAAAACCAAACTGGTTTACAATCCGACTCAAAACACAAGAAAGAAAGTCAAACCGTGGTAGGGTTGCCTCCCCACAAGCGCTTCTTTACCGTCTTTTAGCTGGACGCCCATGGTGGATACTCAGGGAGGTGAAGGAACAGGTGCCTCCAAGAGCGGATCCACGTCGCTCTTGAGGTACAGCTTCAGGTTGTAGCCATGCACCCGACAGATGCGACCACCATCATCGGTCAGCTCCACCTGGCCATCTGGCAAGATGCAGGCGAGTGAGTACCCGGACGGCCAGGGTGGTCGTGGTGCAGGAGGTGGGACCAGCCCATAGTGGTCTCCACTCTTCTTCCGTGCAGGCTTAGCAACCTGCTGCTTCGGCCGCCACTCCTCCTTGAGCTTTTTGTTCGGAGGCGAGACTGGATGGAGTGGCGGCGAAGAAATGATAGGTGGGTCCTGCAAAATGAGAGGTGCAGAAGGATACACGACAGGCTCGTGCACCTGATCAGAAATGGCATGTACAGGCGTGACAGCAATCATAGCACAGTGATCAAATTCAGTCACAGAAAAAGTAGTCTGTTCATTCCCAGCACGCAAGATCAATTTACCATCATGCACATCAATAAGTGCCTTGGCGGTGGCGAGAAACGGTCTACGTAAAATCAAAGGTACATCCATATCCTCATTTATATCCAAAATAACAAAGTCAACAGGATATGTGAATGCACCCACATTAACAAGCAAGTCCTCAATGATACCCCTAGGATGCACGATAGAACGATCAGCTAACTGAATGCTCATCCTAGTAGTTCTAGGTTCACCTAGGCCTAGCTTCTTAAACAAATTATAAGGCATGACATTTATGCTTGCGCCTAGGTCCGCCAAGGACTTTCCTACATGCATGCTGCCAATAACAAGAGGGATAGTGAAACTCCCTGGGTCTTTTCGCTTCTCGGGCAGCTTGTTCTGCAGGATGGCAGAACACTCCTCGCTCAGCATCACTGTCGAAAGATCCCCAAGTTTCTTCTTGTTGGTGAGGAGGTCCTTCATGAACTTGGCATACTTGGGCATCTTTGACAGTGCCTCCACTAACGGTATGCTGATGTTGAGCTGCTTCAACATTGCCATAAACTTGGCAAACTCAGTCTCCAACTTGTCTTTGTGTAGGCGAGTGGGGAAGGGAAGCTGGGGTACATGCTCCTTAACCACTGGTTGTGGCTTGGGAGCAGGGGCTTCCTTCTCCACCCGCACTTCTGCATCGTCGGCTGGAAGTGCTGAAGCAGGTAGTGGTTCCTCCTGTCTGGCCGGGACAGGATCAGTAGATATGGTCTTACCGCTCCTGGTAAAAATGGCATCCAGCTGCTGGAGCTGGTGAGGATCCCGAGGATTCGGGATAGTGGTGGCAGGCAGAGTCCCCGGCGCCCTGGTGGTGTTTTGGCGGGCCAAGATGCCCACCTGGGTCTGCAGATCCTGCAAAATGGCACCCTGGTTCCGCTGACCTGCCTCCAGTGACGTGATAGCAGCCTGAGTGCTAGTCATGAATGAAGCTAGAATATTTTCCAGCTTTGTCATCCGGTCATCTGGGGCAGGGGCTGCTGCTGGCTCGGCAAACTGGCGCTGGGGCTGCTGGAATGGTTGCCCCTGCCTAGGCTGGTAGGGCTGTTGCTGTGGGGCTGGCCCCTGTCGAGCCTGGAAGGGCTGCCTCTGCTGAAAACCACCAGCTGGTGCTAGGAAACCAGGTGGTTTAGTGGTGTTGCTGCTCCATGCAAAGTTGGGATGCTGGCGCCACCCCTCATTATATGTGCCACTGTACGGATCGAGGCGCCGCGCATTGGCGATGAAGGCCAACTGCTCCTGGGGTGTGGTAGACTCCCTCATAACCTGGCAGTCCTCCACTAGGTGATTGGAGCTCTCACACCACTGACATTGAGCTACTGGAGGTGTAGCCACACCTCTGCTCTGAATAAGACTGTTGGGCTGATTCAATGTCTGCACTAGCTTAGCTACCTGCTGCTCGAGCCCGGATCTGGTCTCCATGGCGTGCACACCACGGTCCCGGGACTGTCTGCCTCTGCTGCTCTGTCCCCAAGAATGATCTCTGGCAGCCAAAGTACTGATCATCTGGTTAAGCTCGGGTGGAGTCTTAGTAAGAATATCCCCTCCTGGGCATAGAGACTCAATCACCCTCTGGCTTTCTGGAGAGAGAGCACTGTAGAAGTTCCCCACTGTGAATGCATCACTAAAGCCATGATGGGGACACTGCCAGAAATATCCCATGTACCGCTCCCATGCATCACGAAGTGACTCATCTGGCTCTTGGCGGAAGTGAGTGATCTCCCGCTGGATCTCTGTAGTCTTCGATGCCGGATAGTACCTGTGCACGAATTTCTCAGCCAGATCGTCCCAAGAGGTGATGGACAATGGGGGCTGGGTCTCCAACCACCTCTTAGCATTCCCCGCCAGAGAATGGGGGAAGAGATGAAGGCGGATTGCATCATCCGGGACACCATTCAGCTTGAACCCGTTCGTCAGCTGCAGAAAACGGGAAAGATGCACCCTGGCCTCCTCATCCTTCAAGCCATGGAACTGGATAGAGGATGTAATGAGCTGAATCCAGCATGGCTTGATCTCGAAGTTGTTTGCTGGAATAGGCGGGTAGAGGATGACCGGGCGGATGTCAGCAATCCGAGGAGTGTAGTAGTACTCCAAGGTGGGACCCGGCTGCGGTGGATGATGAACTCCATGATCTTGGGGTATGGGGTTGTTCCCCAGGACCTGATTCACCGGGGGAGCCTGCTGAAGATTCCCCTGGTGCTGATTGTAGTCTCCGTCCATCCAGTACTCTTCTTCAGAATCGCTACTCAAGTGGCCGTCTAGGCGCTCTTTCGTAGCCAGTCTAGCTCGCTGTTGTCTCCTGAGTTGGCGACAGGTGCGGTCAATCTCTGGATTCAACGGCAGTAAACCTCCTGACTGGCTACGGGTCATGCACTACCTGCACACACTCAAGCAAGCAAACCCGTGAAGGCACAAGTGGGACCAAGCAAACAAAGCAAAAGGAAAATCTAAATTAACAGAAATCACTTTTCTTCAACAACCTAGCCGTCCCCGGCGACAGCGCCAAAAACTTGACTCACTTCTACTGTCACTCCAGGAATTGGCCAAGTGAAACCACTTCCTAAAGCGTAGTATAGCGGGTTTGGGTTTAATTATCAACCCGGGTCCTAGATTTGATGACTACTCAGTGAATTCTTGTTATCTAGCAATGAAACATTAATGCAAGTCTAAACTAACAAACTAACAAAGTAAGTAAACTGTTGTATTCAGGTTAAGAGAGGTCACCCGGATATGGTTCCCCCTAGACTGCAGTTAAGCCAGATTGTAATTACCAAGTTCAGTTTCTATGACAGTTATACTGCGGAAGGTTCTTAAACAGCCTGAAGTCTCGACTAAAGGTCTTCAGACCCTCTCAATCTGAGTCTCTAGCGGGCGACTAACCTCCACCGGAGTAAACAGATTGAGGCCTTAACAAACAAAACCTCCACTACCGGAGTAAATTGGTACAGAATAGTGAGTTGGCTCCTCGACTAAAGTCACCAACTCCCTACCTTCAATCAAGGATGCTCTATCAACCTAGGCAGATATTCTCATTCTAGGTTAAAGCAGAAACAATAGGAATTTGATCAGGATTCAAGTCATTCAATCATTCAAACCTCAATCGAATATAATCAAATCATAGAATCAGTACTTGGGTTCATACAATCAAAGCCTAACATACAAATCTAGGGTTCTCCATACCCAGATGAATGGGAGAACTACTCCATGGAGAAAGAAGCAAAAGCAGAATCAGACGCGGAATTCATACTGTGAAGGATGGATTCCTGCTCCTGGATGTTGATCGGCACTTCTCCAAGCTCAAACTGGCCTCCAATGGTGTTGAAGATCAATCTAGGGCACTTGGAGACTCTTGTTCGTCGCTTTCTCTCTCTAGGAATCGTTCTCTCTCTCCAAAAACTCGAATCCCCTTCTGTTTGGCTGAAAATCTGCTTAAAAAGGCATCACTGGCCAAAGCACGGTCGAGGGCACGGCCGTGCTTTGCCTCAGCCCGCCCGTGCTTTGGCTAGTGTTAATTACACGGCCATGTGTTGGGAGAAACACGGCCGTGCTTTGGAGAGAACACGGCCGTGCTTTGGAGAGAACACGGCCGTGCTTTGGGAGAACACGGTCGTGCTTTCAGCCCGTGTAATCAGCTCATGTTTGCCAAACTCGAATTAGCTCTCGGCAGTAAAAGCACGGCCACAGAACATGGCCGTGTTTTGGAGAGAACACGGCCGTGCTTTGGGAGAACACGGCCGTGCTTTGGGAGAACACGGCCGTGTAATGCTTTAGGTGTGCCCCTGTTTTGGCTCCAGCTCGACGAAATGACTTCCGAATGCCCTGAAACTCGTGCTTAGCCTTTCCTTTGACGCCTGGGACCTGAAATATGACAAAACAGCACAACCCGGCGTAAAATAGGCCAAAAGTACACGACTATGCCCCTCAAACGGATAAGAACTAGGGGCGCAAATATGTTCAATTACATCGTGTCCTCGCCACCATGTCCTCGAAACCATACCTCTCTGGAGGTACTCCTGCATCCGCTCTCTTTGGTCTACTGGAAGCTATAGACTGTTGAGTTCCTGCACTGGGCTCTGAAGTTTCTGACTCTGCAGAGACATTCTCATCATGTTGATCTTCTCCACCTTGATGCTCAAACTCACTCTCTTTGAGAGTTTGCAGCTCCACCTGCTTATCAACATTCCTGCGACCATACCACACCTCATAAGGAGTCTTCAACTCGATACCTGTGCGAGGTCCACGGTTGATTAGGAAGCACGCCATGTTCACTGCTTCTGCCCAGAATCTTCTCTCTAGTCCAGCATTAGAAAGCATGCACCGTGCTCTCTCCAACAATGTCTGGTTCATCGTTTCTGCAACGCCATTCTGCTGGGGTGTATCTCTCACAGTTCGATGATGGGCAATCCCTTCATCCTTGCAGAATTCGTTGAACTCAGAACTACAGAACTCCAGACCATTGTCCATTTGCAGCTTCTTGATCTTCTTCCCGGTCTGATTCTCCACCAATGTCTTCCACTGCTTGAACTTCGTGAAAACCTCACTTTTCTGCTTCATCATGAAAATCCAAGTAAATCTCGAATAATCATCAATAATAGACGGAAAATACATGCTGCCTCCAATGGATTCAACTCGTAAAGGACCACAACTGTCAGAGTGGAGGTAATCCAGTATCCCCTTCATCCGGTGGATACCCTTCTTGGGAAACTTGTTGTGATGTAGCTTCCCAAACACACAATTCTCATATGAACTCGGCAAAGAAACCACTAGGATTAGGGCAGCATCCTCGTCATCAACTTGAACATCTATATTACGCAGATCCAGCAAAATAGAGTTAAGCTGTTCGAGAAGTTCCCTCAAAGGCGTACCTTCTTGCATCTTCAAGCTGAACAACCGTTGCTTGAGATGCAGCTTGTTGGTTAAGGACTTCTTCATATACAGACTCTCTAGTTTCAACCACAAGCCCACGGCAGTCTTCTCAACAGCAACTTCAATGATGACATCATCAGACAACGATAGCATGATGGTCGAGTGGGCCTTCTCATCCAGGGTATTCCACTCATCGTCATCGACCGCTGCCTTCTTCTATTTCGCAGACAGCGGCCCCCACAACCCTTGTTGTTTTAATAAATCCTGTATCTTGATCTGCCATATAGCGAATCTGTTCTTCCCCGTGAACTTTTCGATCTTCATGTTCACCGACGTCATTCTTCTGAATCGAAAACTCGATCCTGATTTCCAGCCGCGACTCTGATACCACTTGTTATAAATGCGCTGCTATGGATCGGGAAATCGTCGGAATCGATAAAGCAAGAATGCGAAAGTGAGAATCGAAAAAACACAGACACACGATTTACGTGGTTCACTAACACGATGTGTGTTAACTACGTCCACGGGCGAGAGAGAAACCAGTTTCACTATATCGAGGAGATTACATATTACAGAGGAGTATGAGAAATATTTATAGTACTTCTCCATGTGGGTCTAAACTTAATCCAATATGGCAAAGGAAACGGTTACAGACCAGGCCCAGAACCCGAACCCAAATAACATTGAGCCCATACAAATCACATCAACACTTTTAACCATGCAAATCACGATGTATCCAAATTAGCATGAACTGTCCTTATTATTATTATTATTATATATAAATGTGAAGTTTGGTTACTGTTGCCTAATTATTTGCATTTTGATACCTCAAATTAGAACAAGTTATTTGCAAAGACACGTTACTGTTCATCTAGACACAATTTACTGTTCATTTAGACTCAAAATTACTGTTCACCCTCTCCTGATTGGTCCATCTTTGCGGTCTCATTTTCTTATTGGCTGCTCAATTGTGGGTGGGCCAGTTTTTTATTTGTTTTCTATTGCTCCTGTGTGTGTCGCGTTGCCCTCAAATGGACGCTTATTTTCCCTGCGTTTTCTGCTCCTTTCTATCGTTTCCCCTGAGGCCGCCCCGTATAATTATTACACACACTGCTTTGCTTTCTTCTCTTGCACGTGGGCTTTGTTTCTTGTCTTCCTGGATTTCGGCCAATGATGGGCCTGGGGGGAGCGGTTTTCTTTGTGACCTGATATCTGACAACCGCCGCTTCGGCGCCTCGAATCCTTCGTTGCTTTTTATGGTTTCATTGGCGGTTCCTTGATTTTACGTTGTACTTATATTTTTGTTAATCGTAGTGTCGTTTCCCATTTTTTACGTTCTCTTTCGTCATTGGACCGGTAACTGACATGCAGTACTATCACGTCTGTTCATTCCATCTTTCATTTTTTTATCTTTCGTGGCGCCGGAACTTCCCTCCTGTCATTCTGTTTTCTTTCTCAAAAATTTCTTTCTCTCTCTTTGGTTTTCTTCTTTTCCCGAACCATGGATTTTACGCTGCTTTGTAACCTCGGAGGTCCTCGCAATGCCAGCGTTCCTTTGCGGCTCCGCCTGTTGCATGTGTGGCCGGCGAAGTCCCCGGGGGACATTAGGATCTACAATTACTGCACTCTTTGGGTCGACGAAACAGTTAAGTTTCTGTCCTTCTCGCCTTTTCTTTCTTTCCCCCGTTTTCTCTGTCCTCTTCGCTTTGTTCATGCGGAAGGGTGGAGTGTTTTGCGCAGGGTATGCTGATACAAGGCGTCTCACCAACTTTGATGGCTATCGGGTTTCGCCGTAATCTCTCAGTTGGCAAGATATACGTCATAAAGACTTTTTCCCTGAGCAATCCGCCAAATCAGTATCGAGCCTGTTCCTTTGATTTGGCCTGGGTCTTTCGCCTTCGGTTTCTTTTCAGCCCTGTGTTTTGCCTGCTGAAAGTTTCCCACTTGATGCTTACGAGTTTGTGGCTTTCTCTCAGTTGAATTTGCGTGCCGGTAACCATTGTTATTTGACAGGTTAGTGGGTTCGTTTTTGTTGGATTTGCTTTGTTTATATATCTGCTGTTTGTTTACTAAAATTTTATCTTTGTACTGTTTTTGTAGATGTCGTTGCAATGGCCTTTCCCCTTTCTCTCTCTCTCATTCACTTTTCCCCCTATCTTTCTCTCTCACTTTTCTATCGGCGATGGTTTTTCACATCCAGTTTGGGAGATGGCGATCTCGAAACGATCAGGTTGTAGATTTGAGAGAGAGAGAGAGAAAAAGGGGATTTAAAGAATGCCCCGGTGCACAGGTTATAATCTTAGTATTGTTGTCTTCTGTCGTTCATGATTTTGTTCTGTTTTTCATGGGTTTATTGTGATTACTTTTCAGATGAGATTTTGCAAGATGAAGTAAACGGTTGGGCGTTGATTGATCTACTATTCATACGGATGGTGTGGACAACACCAGGGGTTTGGAGTTCCAAAAAGAGTCGCTGGAATTTGGGCGAGGTTCGCTTCTTAATCCCCTGTTATATTCTTTGCAGTTCTGTTGTTGGCGAAGCCTTCCCTTACATGGCAGTTTATGTTTTTGCCTTTTGCAGATGATCATCTGATAGATTATCTTTGTCCCTACTGGGCTGCTTTGGTCTGGTATTGTTTGGTGGGTTGCGGGATTTGACATTGGAGATTGTTTGATGGGTTTATGTATATGTGAAAGGTTGTTCTGCGCCCTCAACAAAGGGGTTGACAAGGCAAGTAGCATCAGGTTATAATCTTTCTCTCTGGTTCTTTCTCTGTACTGTATTTCGATGGACTAATTCTCTCTTTCTTTCTCATAAGGGTCGTTTGAACTCTTTTCAGATTTTATTCAGATACTACAGACTCTCCGAGGAAGGGAAGTACCCGAGCTCTGCATCAGATTTTATTCGTTTTAGCTGCGAGACTACCTTTGGTAAGTCATTCTTTGGATGCTGTTGATTTGTTCGGTTCAAGTGCTTCTATGAGTTGGAGGTAATTTCATTTTTCTTTGATGGAACAGAGTTCATTGATTTGCCTTCTTCACTTCCATCCGCTTCTTGAGTGGAACTCTAGGTTACCAATGGGATTTGAGGGGTGCATAGAGGAGACTCAGACAATAGGCAGACTTGTATGTTTTACAATTGTTTTGTTCTGTATGTTTTCTGCGATGTGTTTGTTGGCTCTTCCTTGCTCTTTGGTTTTGATTGATAAACTCTTAGGAGTAGATGAAGGTGTCGAGTTTACTTTCATTGAGGCGGATTGGAGGTCGAATTTAAGCATAAAGGTAGCAATAGCAGGGGACCGACTGGTTAGTATGCACGAACTACTGTTGGGGTTGTCAATGGATTTGAGGTGCACAGAGGGTTCGGAGGAATCCAAATCTGCAGATTTATGTTTAAGGTTTAAGGTAATTGTTCTCTATGTTGACTAGATGCATCGCTCGCCATCTGCCTGTGCTTTCCACGCACAAGTGAGGCGTGGGAGATTCAAAAACCTCCAACAACCACCTAAAATTATAACTTCTCAAACCACCTTCCACTGTTCATCTAGACTGCTTTTACTATTCGTTTAGACTCAATTTTACTATTCACTGGTTTGTGATTGGTTGTTGCTCTGGTTGTTCAGTGGTTTCTGTCATGGAAGCTCGGTTCCCTTCAAGTTATTGATGGGATATCTGGTTGCCATCTTTTAGTTTTTTTTTTTTTTTTTTTTTTTATTTGGTGAAGGTGATCTTTGCGTTGGTCGCAGGGTATCTTTGAGTTTCTTTGTAACTGGATTTTGCCTTTTGTCTAAACTGTAGAGATCATGAGAGGAAGGGAGGTTGCTGATGGAGACAAGTCTTTGCTTTATTCCTTTCACGGTAGAGAACAGGAGAGAAGGAATGTTTGCCGATTGAGACACGTAATTGCCTTATTCCTCACACTGCAAAGGGGACTAGGGGTTGGCAGAGGAATGATGACTCGATATTTGCACATGTTTTCCCCTTTGTTTCTTGATCGTTTGAGATTTAATTATCGCTTCTTTGGCCTATTTTACGCTAGGTTGTGTTCCTTTGTCACACTTCAGGTCCTAGCACATAAAGTGAAGCATAGGCGCAAGTTTCAAGTCAATCAGAGATCAATTGGCGATTCGGGAGAAGAAACTCGGGCATGACCTGAAGAAGAATGGATTTATACCTCACTTTATGGACAAAGAATCATGCAAGCTTTTCATGAAAAGAAAGAGGACGAGACTACGAGCGTCTGGGATCAAATGGCGACTGATTCGGAGTCCGGACGAGGGAGAAATGAAGCATTGAATATAGGGGAAAAGGTTCGGCAGTAAAAACACGGGCGCGCCTATATCAAAACACGATCGTGCCCATATTTAGGCACGACCGTGTTTTGGCTGACGCGCGCGGGCGGGTTTTTAACACGGGGCAAAACCAAAGCACGGCCGTGCCCTCAACCGTGTTTTGCCCAGAATCGGGTTTTTTAACCCAAATTCGAGCCAAAGGAGAGGGGGAGCTGGGTTTTGGATCCCAAACAGCCAAGGGACGAACCAAAGAGAGAGAGGGCGATTTGAGGGCATTCTTGGAGTGGAATTGGAGGATTTCTTCCCTTGGAAGCTCGAGGAACAAGCCCGGACTTGAAGACTAATCATCTGAAGATTCTTACTGCAGTCTCTCTCTTCTCTATGCAGTAACTTCCCTTCACTTAGGTTTTGAGGAACCCTAGCTATGTTTGTTTGATTGGATGATTGTATGAGTACTCTGACTTGATAATCTTGAGTTCATATTCAATCTATGCATGTTTTCATGATTCAATTCTGCTTTAGTCGAGATTATTGATTCTGCTTTGATCCTATGAGAGGGAATACCTGATTAGGTCAATAGAGCACCATAGATTGATAGTAGTGGATCGATTGCTTTAGTCGAGGGTTGATTCACTGCTTTGTATCGATTGAGAACCTCTTTCGATAGAGGGAGTCTAGTTCAGAACGCCTTGATCAGTTGTTCTAGAGAAGGATACGTCCCTCTAGGCAATTGACTCAAGAGGGCCTTGTTCCTTTAGTCGAGACTCAAGGTCTAGTCAAGGATTCTCCGCATTGTGAATGAAAGTGAAATAAGTTAGAAATCATCAATCGTTAGTCTGGCTAGTGGCTAGGGGGAATCATACCTAAGTGAGTTCCCAACCTGTAATTAGATTAACTTTAACTGTAGTTTGCTAGAGTAGTTTTAGTTTTTTCATCTTAATCTGGTTTGCTAAATAATAAACTGAAGCTGAGTAATAGTAACTCTAGAGACCTGTGGATTCGATATTTATCACTTGAGCCACTATACTGCAGTCCCTTTCATTGGTTACACTTGGCCTTTGTTAGGAGTTGTGTCATAGCGAGTCAAGGAACGAAGGGTTGCTTATGGAGACTAGACACTAGATATATATATTTTTTGTTTTTCAATTTTTTGCCTTCTCGGTTTTTGAGGGGCTCTTGGGAGACTGTGCATCCTCACTCCTCAGATAGAGGCTGAAGGGAGAAAGGAATGGACGATACTGAGAAGGACAATGGTAGGTTAAAAGCCACGTAGTTCTTATATTTTCGGCCATTCATTTAACCTGCTCGCATTGCTCCTGTTCTCTTTCAGGCGATTTTCTTTTTTGGGGTGGATAGAGAGAGGCAGAGGAACCATCTTGCTATCCCTGGGACTTTGTCCACGAGTCACTTCTGGGACTTTGTCCACGAGTCAGAGAAATAGCCAATATATGTTTTATACTATATTTTCAATCCCAATTGTCTCGAACTTGCTCTTTTTTTTGGAATGGAATTTTTATGGAATCCCCATAACCCATAAATAGGGTCAAAATCTTACAAAACTATGTCCGACTTTGAATTCTGGAATTTTAATGGTAGTTCTTGGCGTTCTTCCCATGTTTTTCATCAAAAATTTTACAGGTCTAATGATTGATCCACAAAAATGAAAAAGAGAATGCAAAACATGTTTATTCGCAGAACGACGTATTGGATGTCGTTCCATTTATTTGCCAGGCCCATATAAATGTTGGGCTAACGAATATAAATTTTGACAAATTTGATTTTGAAATAGAGTCGGAGACCCAAAATTACAAAATACGATTCTTCTAATATACTATTTGAACACCTAATTAGATATGATAATGCTCATCAGATGAGGATATGCAAATTGTATAATCATTTCTTCGCGATATTGTTATTGAAACTGAGTCATACACTTTTTTTATAACAAAAAAATATAATTTATTTTATTTCCTTTAGATAAACTCAAGTATAATTCCAATCCCGACGCGGAGCGCGGGCAAGGATACTAGCGGGAAATATAACTATGCAAATTGCTTCACTTCATTCGCTCTTACTTTTTAATTACATGTAATTTATGTTTACATTAATAATTATATATAACTATGCAAATTCCTATTATCATTTGCCCACAGTTCCCGTTCTCACCTCATACGCTCTTACTTTTTGCCCTTTTTATTGTGTACATTTTTTAAGTCAAGAAGGAGAAAATTGAGGAATCAGTTACCAAATTTTTTTATGAAATGTTGTTATTTTTTTAGAGGGTTTGAATTTTAGAATGGGAAATCGGGAGTTATTCTGTTTCACAGACAGTCGTTATTTTTTAGACAGTTTGAAAGGGGGAAAACGACAATTACTGTATTTCTAGGTGTGTTGACGTGGAAGCGTAGATTTAGTCTAAGGCTGATGTGGCAGGGGTGCAAATCTCAAACCCTTTTAATAAATTTATAAATAAATAGATAGATAGATAGATAGATAGATAGATAGATAGATAGATAGATAGATAGATAGATAGATAGATAGATAGATAGAAGATAGATAGATAGATAGATAGATAGATAGATAGATAGATATAAATAATTGGCCCTCTTTTATGGTATAAGTAGATATATGAATTGGGCCAAGTATTCTCATATTTAGCCCGAATAAGAAATTGCTTTATGCTTATATTAAATTTCTATAGTTTTTTGGAAGCCCATTTTATAATGGTTCGGTCCATTGGGGGAACAATTTATGGCCCGCTGAATCTCCAATATACGATTTTATAATGGTAGTAAGAAATTGTTTTGGGGACCAACTTCCACCGCCTTTCCATTCCAGTTTTAATTCTGCCTTTTCAACTTCCCTTGTTCTCTGAACTCCTTTTCCCAGAAACTACAGTACTTCGCAACTTCTAGATCAGAGATAGTTGTATATTCATGGGGTATGATCGCCGATAGTTTTTCCTTTTGCATTCTGCCTCTGTTTCTTTACACTTGAACCAATTTTTGATCTTCTATTGTCTTTCTATATCAGCCATCGTTGTATAATGCCTCGTGATTTCAAACTTCCAACTCTTCCACGAGGTATCGACTCTGTTGCTTTCTGTTTCAAGTTACTATTTATTGGTTTATGAATGAACACTGCCGAAGTGTTAAGTTTTTGGGTTATTCTTTGTCTTTTGTTTATTACAGACTCAATTTCCACATGCATGGTGTTTCGTGGCCTCCGTGTTGGTGCTTATACTGATATTATGATCATCCGAGTTCTTAATGTATGGATTGAGTATAATGATGACTCTCAAGGGCATAGAAGAATAATGCATGTGCTGTGTCTTGACAAAGAGGTCTGTCATTCGTCTATATAATGTAATATTTATGGTTTATGTTTGATTGTGGTAATGCACTAAATCACATTTAACAGGAACATATGCTAGAGGCCTGTATTGAGGAAGATGACATTCAAGAAATGCATCATAAGTTGAAAGTAGGCGATTTACATGTTCTGGATGGCTTTCATGTTATTCCTGCGAGGGAAAACAGGCGTGTTGTTCCCGCTGGAGTTCGCTTTACCTTAAGGAGTGAACAGATCATATTTTGCGTGCCTGAAAATCCGAGTTATCCCAAGTTTCCTGTCAATACTTTTCTGAAAACTTCATTCTTGGCTATTCCAATAGAGGCAGAAACAGTTGTGAATTATGGAGGTATTTTCCTCAGAAGCTGTTTTCACAAAAATTGTTCATGATTATTTGCTTACTATGAATTTAATTGCAGATGTTACAGGTTGCGTTGTTCATCTAACAATTCCAGAGGTTTAAAGTAATGCTGTTTTTAGGTTTGAGCTCATCATAGAAGACTGCAGGTTTCTTGCGTATTCTTGTGTTGACTTTTGTTTGTTTGACTTTTATGTGGGATTAACTGATCTTTTGTTATTTTGTATAGAGGGGACAGGGCGACAGTGTACTACTCTGGATCTGGGGTTACAAAGTATTTGGAGTTTGCAGGGGAATCTGAATCTCGGCTTCCTCTCATTACCACAATTACTGCTGTTACAAGGTTGCCAGTTACATATAGCACTGGAGATGCATATGTACTTCAATCTTCACCTGGGAGTCGTCTAATCATTGCTTCTTACAATCACCATTATGAAAAAATAATAAATAGGTATTATTATATTTGAATTCTATGTCTATATATGGACAAACCTACTCTGTTGGATTTTAGAAAAATAATAAATACATTCTTTTTGTTGTCTAGGTTCATAGGTGATCGGATGTCAGTGACTTACATCAATAGTACTTCTCGCTGCTCTATTGGTTATCTTCGTGGTCTTCTTCCTCCCAAAAGAACACTCAGGCAGCTAAGGGATGATATAATGTTTCATTCACAGGCCTACCAGGTATATGTATAATATTGTATGTTCTAATTGTGTTGGATAACACATATCCCAAATATATAGTCATATCTTT